GGGGGGGGGGGGGAGAGAGAGAGAGAGAGAGAGAGAGAGAGAGAGAGAGAGAGAGAGAGAGGAAAATGCCAGTGTTCCAGTCAAAAGACAGTAGAAAGAAACATTTGATGTCACATCAGTAATAGGATATGGGTAGTGAAGTTAAGATAGGTTTACTATATTCTTTGGACTTTCAGAGAGTAGGTGGATTTGTCTCAGGGTGATTAACTCCTTTGGCAAAATCAACAAATAATATTTTTAAATATTTTCCTGTAACCTTTTTATTTCTTGGATGAATTGGGTAACATTTATAAAGACTAAGAAGATATGATAAAATGAAGCAAAACACAGTATATTTCACCTAGAGCCATGCTATATAGTCAAGATAAAGCTATAAGCCAAGAATGTACAACCTGTGGGGGCCATGAATAACATGTTAACATGACAATCTTCAAGAATATCAAGTGTAATTTACCTGGTGCTCTCATGAATTTCTGTTGGGTGGGCAATATGATTAAAAAGATTTATTTTATAGTTCTATGGTACAACTCCTTGAAAAAATGTCTTTCCAGTGAAAATAAGGGCAAGGTATTGGGTAATTATAACTCTTATGTGAAGACCCCACATATCCTTAGGAAAATTGATTTTGCTAATCTTAATTTAGCAATGGACAGAAAGTTTTGCAATTTAACTTTTTAAAATTAATCTTCATGTTTAAATTTTGAATTTAAATTATTTAAAAGTTAAATTAGAAACCTACATCATGTTAATTAGTTTCAACCATTGTACCACAATTGTTTGTAATATTATACTCCTTCCTTACTGTCCTTGCTGAGCATATACATGAATGCCCACAAGGGAACAGGGCAGGCAATAACAGATCATAATTCTGGATACTGTGGACACCTCTGAGTTTACATCTTCATTCTGAGTTTTCATAATCATAATTTCCTCATTGGTCTCAGGCTGGTTAAGCAGGGCTATAAACTGTGTTACCTTGCAATCTTTTCAATTAGATTTTATCAGACCATTTATTAATATCATTGTCTTGTCGCAAACATGACTTGCTACCTAATTAAGACAAGGTGTCTGATTCCATTTCTTTTTTTAAACTAATATGATTAAGAAAATAGGAGCTAATATGCTGATATGGGCCACTGTCCTATTTAACTCACTGTTGTCTGTACTGCCAGTGGTTCTCCAGGAGTTTTTATAGCAATACCACTGACTGAATCCCAAATCTTTTGCACATGTTCTGATGGCCAGTCATTCAGAAAGACTGCACTTCCCTGTTAAAACAGAGTTTAATTAGAAAATAAGAATCCATTAAGAGTTCTTATGTACCCATTTCTATTCATTGTTCTGTCACACACTTATCTGTTCTTTGCATAATACAGTAGAAAAGAGTTGGAAAAATTTTGGATGCTGGGGTCTATATTAATTTTTCAGTAAGTATCAGGAGCTGCACTGGGACCAATTTAATCAAAGTGGGAGGGGAAGCAAGCATATTTTAAACAAAATAAACATTTTAAGACTTCAGCTAAAAATATTTTCTCTCCTTTTTTGCCTTTAAATTTCCATTTGCTACAAACAATTTCCGTATTCCACACTTAGGAGTGTATCATCTTGTAAAAGCAAGATTTTGGGGGAAATTACAGCCATTAAGAAACATTCTATTCTAGTGCCAAGATCCTGCTCATTCATTTGTTATTCAGTAACAAGTTAATTTATATTTGTTGACTATTTTTTGTCATTGTTGTTTTCATTTGGCCAGAAATGGTAGCATAATTGTACAGTTCGAGCTTTTCTTTGTACGACTGGTGTCTGAAGTAAAGATAAAGAATGAATTGGTCTATGGCATCAAAGCAAATAAGAGTGAACTTTTACAGACTCTTACTATTGATGTGAACAGCATCGAAATAACAGGTAATCCACATTTTTTTAATACATAGAAAAGTGCTATTTAATTACCTATTTTTGGCTGATTCTTGCTTCAACACTGGCATCTTCCTCCCCATATTTCTGTTCACGTCAACAACTCTTTCTCTGGTTTTCAGAACTATCCATTCTAAAATATTAGTGATCACCACATGCACACAACTGCATGCACAAACATCAGTATGTACACATGCACATATGTTACCAAAATTATACCATGAAGAAAACTGAGTTAAAAATGAAAATTATGCCCAGTTTGAAAACTGAAGATGGGATGAAAGGTGGAATATTTTCTTCCAGCAGGAATAAATATCAACAACATGGTCTCGCATGAATATATGATTGGCAAGTGTGTGTGGCAGGGGGAGGCTTCATACCCAATAAAATAATTTTCAGGGCTTAAAAACATATTTTAATAATAGAGCTGAGCTTTAAAATGCTTGACCAAATATTATTTGAGATTCAGGATCTGCTGTTCTGCTTTCAGCACTGAATCTGATAATTATTAAAACTGAAGTAATTTATTTAGTACCTAACAAATATACAATATTTTGCTGATTTTTAATTGTTATAAGCCATGAAGTTTCAGAAAATGTATTTTATAACTTACATTCTTTAGGAATATTTAAAGTAGCATATTTCACATTCTGAACTTGAACTCCAAACTGAAACTACTTGGAAAAACCCCAAATTAAAAAAAAAAAAAAATCCTGCATTTGGCATAAAAGTTCTCATTACTTGTCTTTGGTTCCTATATATGAATTGATCTCTTAAAGTTTATCCCATATTTTAAGGATGAGATTGTTTTACTTTGATAATGCAGAAGAATTTTCACTTTTTGAATACTTTCCAGTTCCCCTCCCCTCCCACCACCCAGCCTTTTAAAACACCTTTTAATAGGTGTTCTAAGACTATTGGAGGCTAAATGCAGCTATTTTATTTGATTTAAAATATAGAAAATCATATTGTTGATTTTTGATGATTTATCACTAGTATCAACAGTCTGATCTCAGGTGTTCTAGGAATTGCCTCCCAAAATCTGACAGAATTAAAGAGTTAATTTTTTCACCACTAGATTTCTTTAGGAGTACCACGTTTAATCAGTCAGTAAACTTCATTATGATCTCAGACCAATATTTAAGATTCATGACTTTGCTTCAGGTAATCAAATAAATGATATACAGATTACATAAAATCAGTTTATAACACATAATATGCACTAATCAAAGAAGATCACTCTTTTCTAGAAGATCTTCTAAAGAAGATCACATTTCCTACATATTCTGCTCCTCTGTGTGGCAGTGCTGTACTCTGCAGACTGCTAAGTAGAATTTTGCTACTTGATGTGTAAATTTAGAATCTTTGGCTTCAAGTAAATAGCTGACATAAAATCATTCAGAACACCTGGAAATGTTTGCATTAAGGGGACTGTATAGATATCCCTATAGAAGAGACAGTACAGAAACAGATGGGCAATAGTAGCATCATAACTGCTCTCCATTTCACTGATTAGAAGTATTCTTCTAACTCCAAAGCAATTCAGGTTTTTTGCATTTTTCAGAAAACTATCAAGAGGCTGTTCCAAAGTACCGGCGTGCCAAAGACAAGCAGCCCACTTGTATCTCAGAAATGTTGGATTATAAATTGTTTCTCCCTAGCTGTTCTAACAGGTCAGGCCATACTGATTGGATCAGATATTCCTGTAGGTATCCAAGTACAAGACTTAAAAGGCTTTATACATTAATACCAGAACCTTAAATTGTACCTGGAAACCAACTGGTAACCAGTGCAGGCCCCACAAAATCAGTGCTACATGCTCCCAACAACAACAACCAGGAAGCACATGGGCCAAGCACTGACCAGTTGCATTTTCCAGGTAGTCTTTAAAGGCAGACCCATCTAAAGGGTGCTGCAGTAGCCTGGCTGGGTGGCAATGCAACATGAATTACTCTGGCCAGATCCTTCTGCCCCAGCTACAGCTGCAGTTAGAACACCAGCCTTAAAAGTATTAATAGCAGCTGAAATATATTGTATTGAACTACTTATGAGAACAAATACAAAATAGCTGTAATGCTTCTTTGTGCCTTCCAAGCAAGAATCACCATGTTAATGACTACAACTGGGCAATTTGAGTTAATATGAAGGAATGCAGGAAGTGCTTATTGGGAAATTCCTCCCCAAGGTGAAAAAGATATTTTTAATTCCTCCTAACATTCTTTTAATTTTTACGTTAATTCTTCCTTTATATTAGTTTAATTTTTAATTTTTACATTACTCTGCATATTTACATTTATGCATATTGTAACAGAGATACAATAATGGGTTTGGCAGCAGTTTCTTTCCACTGGAAAAATATATTGTATTAATTTTTATCTCTAAAATTCTTAGGCTGCTGTAC